GTAATGAACATGATAAAAGATATTGATAAAAATAGATTTTTTTTGTGTGATTTCAGAAAAAAATAGACTTCACAGGTTCAGAATCTTTTTTACACCGGCATGCTTATACAATCAGCGTTCCATTTAGTCTGACATTATACATTTGTATATCTTGACCTTGGAGAAGCTACTTAAACAACTCTCAGGTTCCTTTCTTATTGTCATAATGTAAGCTCTCACAATCTCTACTTTCAGCCAGTTGTTCTTATATAAGACTGTTGCTCCCTTTAGTTCATAAGTCACCACCCTGTTTTAAGTTGCAGAAAATTTTGATTTTACACCCATATGATATTTTGCCATTATACCAATACTAGTGCTTCATGGTTTCTATACCAGTAGTACAGGAATCTAGTCTACAAGTTACTGCCACATACACCAAATTAATACTATTTTAAAAAAAATAATGCTAAAACAACTCAAGTTAAATGTCCCCATAATCAACAAGGCCATGTGCTTTGATATTCATTTTCTAAGCAAAATTCAATAAGTCAAGCTAACATTTCTTTCACGAACAGTTTATAAAAGGCACAGATGGGGCAGCTATTTTCAGCAAACACTCAATGAAAAATCGAGTGACAACAGACACACAAACAAAAGTGAATCATCAAGAACTGTTACATATTGATTAGATCAATAAACAACATGCTCCATCATGTGTTAAATATACAAATATATAACAGCATGTATGAAACAGTTTAATGTCTTCTGGGGTTTTTTTTCACTGCTTTGGGAATGGGTTTGTCTTCATCAAGTTGGGAAACATTTCATTAAAGGAGCTCTACTGAGGTTAAAAATCCTAAAAACATAAAATTTGAAGCTCTGGCATAGATCAAGTTATGCACTTACATTGGAAAAATCTGTAAAAGATAATGAAGAAATATACTCGGGAGGAAATTGTAAGAAGTTTAGCCCAGTTTGTATGAAAAGCCTTGCAACCTTTTTCAATTTTTAGTTATTTTGTACAACAGAAATTATTACTCTGGGAAAATGGAGTAAGGGAATAATTTGAAATTTGGCACACAAGTTATTAATCTTAACCTACATGAAATGGTACTGAAGTCTCCAAAAAAATATTTCCTGTCTTTTTATGTAAATAAAACCTCAGGGGAGTTAGTCCCTTAAGTCTTTACTGTAAATTTAGTACATTGGAATAAAAAAGGAGTCACAAAAAGCAATCAAACTGAATTTTGAACCTTTTTAAGAGAAAATAGAAACTTCTTTTTCTATTCAAACTTAGGAACCTGAACTGAAATATTTCATTTACATAACTTCATCTCGTTTAACCTATGAAATAACTTGGTTAAAGTCGACGTGATGTTTATTTCTAGTAAGAGTTAAAACTTCAACTTTACGCAACATTAATGATGTTAACATCGCGCCTCAATACATTAAAAATATTGTAATGCACCAGAAATTACATAAAAGTTAAACTGCTTAGAACAGGATAAAAAATATAGGTCACAGCATAACTAGTACGGATGTGTAAGTTTAAAAGTATATTCAAGTCAGTTTAACCTAGTAAAATATATTTTTTATTCCTATAAATCTACTACATGAACTGTCATGTTAGGAACATGATGCTGCAGCTACCTGTTTGTGACACCATTTCTGAGTGTCATATTCACATAGACCCTATGTATTGTAAGTAAATATATCACGATACATTGAATGAGAACCTTTAAATTCCATGAACCATCACTGACATTATTAACAATGTCTTTAGAGAGACCAAACAAAATTAGTTAAACACTCAACCTGGTGAATTCTACAAAAGTTCATTCCAAGATTCAGGGATTTCAATTAGAACATAAATAAAACTGTTAATTAATAGAGCATCTTGTCAATAGACTTGCCTGGTTCTATACCACTGGTGACAAAAGATTATCACTTCTCATTTAGCTGTAACTGACACTACCATAACACTTAGATGACATAATTTGGCATGAACCACAAGGCATATATTTCAAATTTAAGTGACACATTTTTGCATGAACCATAAGATAGACATTTCAAACTTAAGTGACACATTTTTGCATGAACCACAAGACAGACATTTCAAACTTAAGTTACACATTTTTGCATGAACCACAAGACAGACATTTCAAACTTAAGTGACACATTTTTGCATGAACCACAAGACTGATATTTAAAACTTAAGTTACACATTTTTTGCATGAACTACAAGACAGATATTTCAAATTTAAGTGACACATTTTGCATAAACCACAAGACTGATATTTCAAACTTAAGTGACACAGTTTTGCATGAACCACAAGACAGATATTTCAAATTTAAGTGACACATTTTGCATAAACCACAAGACTGATATTTCAAACTTAAGTGACACAGTTTTGCATGAACCACAAGACAGATATTTCAAATTTAAGTGACACATTTTGCATAAACCATAAGACTGATATTTCAAACTTAGTTACACAGTTTTGCATGAACAACAAGACAAATATTTTAAGATTTAAGTGACACATTTTTGCATAAATCACAGGACTGATATATCAAACTTAAGTGACATATTTTCACATGAACAAAAAGACTGATATTTCAAACTTTAGTGACACATTTTTGCATGAACCACAAGACTGATATTTCAAATTTAAGTGACACATTTTTGCATGAACCACAAAACAGATATTTCAAACTTAAGTGACACATTTTCACATGAACTACAAAACAGATATTTCAAACTTAAGTGACATATTTTTGCATGAACTAAAAGATATATATTTCAAACTAAAGTGACACAGTTTTGCTTTAACCATAAGACAGATATTTCAAACTTAAGTGACACATTTTCGGATGATACATAAGACAGATATTTCAAACTTAAGTGACACATTTTCGGATGATATATTAAAGTTAAAGCAGGACGCCTCCAGATTCATGTTAAATTTCATGAAAATTTTGATAATGTATTTGACAGTAAAATATTGTGAGGTGAACAAATAAAGTTATTTACATATTGCAATTGGCACTTACAATCCATGCAAATAACCAAAAAGAGGTCAAAATGTGCAAAAAAGCCCTTACTGTGTTACTAACGCAGTAGAAACGCAGTAGAAATATGGTGATAAAATACTGCAAAATCAGTCTTAAATCGCAAATAACATGTTAACTTCAACAGTGATTGTTTTTACCTTTCTTGAAATATTAGTACATTTTTCTCAATTTTCATTTTCTTGAAATATTTTGGCTTATCTGGAGGCGTGCAGCTTTAAAGGACAGTTTTGCATGAGATTTCAAATTTAACATGCACACAGCAATATTTTGTAATTCTCACATAAACATTGCAGTAAAGTCTCTAGGAGGTAAATTTTCAGTGACTGTCAGTATAAAACATACAAATCGAAAGATAATTCCTGACACATCGGCATGGAAATGTAGCTGCCGTAAAATCTAATAACAAACATCACTGTTTCTTAATGGAACAGACACGTGTTTCTGGAAACACACATTTTCTTCATTAACCAATAACTTTAAGCTCTTTGAAGACAGCAGGGCTATTCCATTACTATAAAATTATACCAAAATCAAACTGCTTCACCAAAGTGACCAATATACTTTTAAGTATTTAAATCTCCAATATTAAACAGTATTTTCAGTTTCCAATAACATCCAACAGCCCCTTTCAGTCAATAAAAAACACAAAGTCTAAAAATAATAGTACACAAAAAAAACACCTCCAACATTTTTTTTAACCTGCCATCAATAATTAAACATCAGGCAGGCATGATATCACCAGAACATTTTTTTCAACCAAACACTTAGTAGTTTAGTGATCACCAAAACAATGAGCGAGACTTAAAACAGGATTGGAGCACCATATTCAGGTATAAACCTGGCGAGGACGCTTGAATGCTAAAATGCTAACATACCGCTTTTGACCCCACAGACTTGAACTTTACAATGTTTAATTCATCTCTTCACACTGATAATGTATGAGAAATATAAAAATCAGCACAAAAAAAAACAACAACAATATTTATCTATTTTGTGATCATGATTTCTACAAGCAAGAGGTACTGCTCCAACACTGTATTGAGTTAAATACCAAAACAACAGTTAGTACCCTGGTGATCTAGACTGGGTCTCGAACCATCAAGCCAGACTGTGTATCAGAATACCTACCTTTACAGTCATGAAAAATGTATATAGACTGTGCCTAAAACAATTTAACACATACCAAACTGGGTCCTGATAGTCACCTACCAAGAGTGACCATAAACACACCTATCAAGAGTGGACATAAATACACCTACTAAGATTCTTAAAACACCAACAATGACAGACTTATAAAACACCTACCCAGACTGAGTGTTGCACCACCCACCAGACTGAGCACTAAAACACCTACTCAAGACTTTATCTTGAATCACTATTGACTGAATTCTCAATAAAGCATTGACAAATAAGAGTTTTAAATACTAATGTCTCACTCAATAATGTGTTATTCTATTGTCCAGTGGAAACAAATCAGACATAATAATGACAGACTGTAATTGGTTTACTTAATTTCCTTATTTCATTTCTATCAAAATGTGGACTTCAATTTATATTTTTGTACCAAGATCTCTTTCCTTATAAATGTTAGAATTAATCAGTGTTTAGTAAATAAACAAAAATCTGCATATTAGACTCTAAATGATATTATTAAAGTAATGCGAGCCTTATTACTAAACATTTCAAAAATCAAATATAATTTGAAAAGCAAACTTATATTTTGCCATTTAAACTTATCTACTGTTTTTTCTTAAAGAATCATCAGACCTTCTAATTATTCTAAATATTAATATTCAAATAAAGGTTATAAATTATCAATTATGCATTGTATACAAAGACCAGTTTTTCACCTGCCAAAAATCATACATCTTTTGAACATAATGTTGGAAATATTAATTTTAAAAATAACAAAAAATTGAAGAAGCACCATGATTGATGAAACCTACCTTTATCTGAATGTTTGCTGCTCAAATCTTCCGCGTCACTGGTTTCTAGTTTCACTCTTGATAGATCCACCTCGCTCCGATCCGTCTCGGACTCTTCTATGCTGCTCACAGACACTTCACGCCATGGATCTTCTGTCACCTCTTCTATCAAATGGTCACCGGAGTCCTCCGAGTCTAATACAACTGTATGTTTTATGTTACGTTTTGGCTGGGACTTTCGACTTTTTCTTGGCACTGACCGCTCTTTGGACTCTTTAGAATTATTATTACTGGCTGTTTTGAGGTACCTTGAAGGGAAAAAAAAGTTAAAAATTTTAACTTTTGTTAGGATCAACTTTTTAGGGAAAAGTTGTTTCCCTACTTTAAAATGTATTGAAGAATATGTACAATCAATGATTTGCAAGAAAACCCTTGTCAAATCAAAGCTTTAACTAATAAAGGTTTGTGATTAATAGAAAGATAGGTTATGTCTTCTTTTAACTTTAATGTTGGAAAAAAAACAGAGTTGTTGTTAGGACCGCAAACTTGGCTATTCTCAGTCCCTTATAGTAAAGCAAAGAGTCTGCATATTGTAGAAGTTAATAAAGGGCCATAATAATGTCAAAATCCATGTTCAGAGTTACAGACCTCGAACAATGACTTCACATTATGCTCTAAAATAAGTACCTATTCCCTTCAGTAGTTTTGGAAACAGACCAGTTTGCATACAAAAACTTAACCAAATAGTAATGTCGACACCTGGATGAGTACAAAACTCTCACTTTTTTTCAAATAGTCGAGCTAAAATTGATATAAAAAGTGTTGCATGACTGCTTGTCTAAGACTTTTTTTTTTAATTAAAGGCTATATATCAAGAGCGTTGCTAAAAGAAAACAATATACATAATGGATGATGATAAAGTAATGGGAAACATAATGTGCAATTTGTGATTGCAAATGCAATTAGAACATTAAAGAACCTGCGATGCTAATTGATCTTTAAATTAAAATCTCAATATGCAAATGAGTGAACATCATCATAATCCCTTTAAAGTATCACATATTTATTCAAGTACTGTAAGTAATGTTAACAATTTCTTATTTTCATGCAAAAAACCTATGTACAAAACGAAAACAAATCTTTGATATTTCTTGAAATCAACTATCAGGTATAAAATAAATAATAACAACAGTAAACATCTAAGTGTTTTCATTATTCATAGGTCAGGGTTAAATTTGTTTTCTCTCAATATTGTTTACAGTATTTCTGAACAACTTTCATATGACTATTTAACTTCCTACTACAATTAAGTGCAAGAAATTATGAGTAAATACTGTTTAAAAGTCCAATGTGAGTGAAAATCCAGCATGAACAGGACATATAGAGATAACCCAGTCTACACTGCATACTAATGCAATCTGACCAAACTCTCTACTTTTGGCTTCTCATTTTTTATATATATTATTAAATTATTATATAAATTGTTAAATATATCATTAAAACTTCTAATGGACAGGTTAATTTCAAATGAAGACACATTCATCAGGGATAAAGCTTTTTAATAAGATTTTTATAAATGCAATTTTTCACAACTCTTTATTTTGAACAAAGAAGTCCATCATTCAAAAAGTTAAAGGATATAATACCAATATATAAGTATATTTTTTGGTAATCCCTGCACTGTGATATATAACATGTACAAGAAGTATTGGAAATTCAATTTCACCAAACAATCTACAAAAATTGAGAACTTAGTGATATAAGAATAAAGGATCTTACAAAAATAACAGAGACCTGAACTCAAGATCAATACATGAAACTGGCCCTAGTTCCAAGCAGATTACTTCAATTTGATATGAGCCAAGGACAGAAAGTCTTAAACTCTTAGAACTGATAGTTATCAGCCTTCGTCATGCCCCAAGTAAAATGCAACACTATACCTGGCTTTTTAATTTTATTGTTAGTACGTCTATCTTTGTATTCTGATATTGAATATGAAATTCCTTGGAACTTATAATGTACTGCAGGGCATATCTCTTATACAAATTCAAGAAAACACTTTTCTGTATGTGATAAAAGCAAAATGCCCACCTCAAATTAAAAAAAAATCAGACACCTCAATTTTTTTAATGATAACCCTGCAAATTCAGCAAAATAAAATTTGGCACTAAAATGATAATATATTTAAATAAGAAGAAAACTTACTCAACATGTAAGTTAAGGAGATGTTTCATCAGATCATCACTGGTCTGAAATCTAGTTTCACATTGTAATGCTGTAAATCGTTGAGCAACATCATTCCGAACTCGCACACAATGCGTCGACTTAGATGCTTCTGTATATAGGTCAATAAGATGTTCTAGGAAAGTGTCTATAGAGCTGTGTTTGGAAGTGGCCAGCACTTTCTCGAACTCTCCTGAGACATCACGTTGTAAGTATATTTGCCCCTGTTTAGGGTCTTCTGTTACACTCCCCATTCTCAGTTGCTTATATGATCATTGAGTACATCAAACAGTCTACCTGAAATTTTTATAAATCAAGAAAAAAAAAATAGATTTCATAAAACACAAGAAAATGGTAAATTTTCTACAAATGTTCAATTATTGAAGTCAATCCTATGTAATAGGCTTACTCTAATAAATTTGACACATGAAATTTCTTTTTCTCATGAAAAAATAACAACTCAAACCACTGTCAAATGCAATGCTATTCTCTCCCGTATTTGCTCCAATGAATAAAGTACATTTGGCAATGAGGAAGTGAGCAGAGGAACACAATCTGCATTTAATAGCTACACAAAAACTCTACAAAAGGAAATTAAATGAACAACATATTTTCCAGTTTTGAACCATAACTGTAAACACTGAATTCTTACATCATTTTTTCTAATGTATAATTCAGCAATGTCCTTAATACAAAGTTACCTTAATTAAACCTGCAGGAAAAATACTCCAACCTTTGAGGTGATAATTATTAAAAATAATTTTCAAAAGTGTTTCTCTGTAAATTGTAAAAACATTATTCAGTCAACCTTTTAATTGCACTGGATCTGAATGGATTGGATAACCATATATAAAAGATAAACTTTTCTTAAAATCGAGATCATCAATATTTTCCAACATTCTGTAGTATATTATTGTGACAGTAATCATGTACACACTAAGAAATCAAACTGAAAACAGGAAGAACTATTCCTTGTCATTTTCACTTTCAGTTCAAGAAATTGTAACAATGATAATTATATAATGTAATGAAACCAGAGGGATAACTACATGAACATTTTTTTTGCTAACTTGTATAGGTAAATTCTAAATTAGCTACATGCATAAATATTAATGTCATTAAGTATTGAAAACTAAAACAACCATACTTTGGTACAATTTTGTAAATCACCCATTTTTTATTTCATTACCTGAGAGGGTTAAAAGAAAAGCATTTTTCTAATTGTGGCCATATCTAGTATACATGTATTATAAAAGTAAATCTTAGCTAGTAATTTAGTTATATTGTCAATCAAAAGTAAAGAAATCATGTCCTTAAAAGGAAATTGGCACTTTCGGAAAATGTCATGGCCAATTTATTTCTTCGCCACTTAGATATTTTACAGTACAACACAGGAAATGGTGAATAACAGCATAGGATAGAGTTACAAACAATACGATGAAGTTTACTTCCTCTTAACCTAGGAACTTACCAGTGTTTTTATAGTCTATACTGTATGTCTGACTCAAAAACAAGATTTGTATATTGTCCAATAGACTACTACTTTAACTTGCCATAAAAATGACTAAGAGTTTTACATCTGATAAGAACATGTTGTTCTGTTAATACTTTCAACTTATTGTTACATAACAATCTATGACACTACTTAAATTCATATATATTTGATAGTACTTAACATATAAGTTTCAGTTACAAAAAAGGGAACTCTCCATTTCTTGAAAACTGAAAAACTAGACTTGTGTCAATAGAACATGGGATATCCCAACTTTCAACTTTTGGGCATGACTAAAGTCCAAATGCTACATTAGGGATCATAACTCTGCTATAAATCTCCAATGAATTTCTGACAATAACATGAACAAATATTTTGAGAAAGTTCCATGTCTCTAGCAGTTACATACTACACAAGTCCAGAAAGTTTGTGTCAAAATAGCAAGGTGGATAAGTTAACATACTGACAACTATTGTTACAAAGTTTATAATTTTCCTTTTGTAAAGTTCTACAAAAAAAGGGATTTCCCTATGTTTCTTGAAAACTGAAAAACTACACTTGTGTCAATAGAACATGGTATGTAATTGCTGTTATTGTTTGTTCAGCTCTTCAAATATTGGAGAAAATAAAAGTATCTATCTATCTAGCCAAACGTTTGCTACATTAGGGATCATAACTCTGCTAATCTCCAATGAATTTCAGACAATTAAATGACAAATATCTTTAGAAAGTTCCATGTGGATACAGTCATTGAATTTAACATTTTGAATTTTCTGGCCCGAACTCAAGTTTTGAATTTATTCTACTATATATTTAACTAAATTTTCTTAAAATTTACACTGGCCGGAACTTATTTCCACTGACCATGGGCCACAGGCCAGTGCTAAATCCGATGACTGTCTCCAGCAGTTACATGCTACACATGTCCAGAAATGCTTTAAGTTTTAGTGCATAAGTTAACATGCTGACAACTATTAAGTATTATCAAAAAGTTTCATGGCTTTTTTAAAGTTACAGGTCAGTGATTTTTCATCTTATATAACAGAGGCCTATAAAAGGTATCTTCCCAATTCCAATTTTCTTTAAAATCATAGTCATACAATTTTCCCAAAAATCTGAACCTACACCAGCAATTTTTTACATCCAAAATCATCAGGTTATGGTCTCTTCTCAATTAGAAAGAAACCATAGAAACCATGCACTGCTGGTGACACAATTCTAAATATTGATTTTTGCAATCAAGGGGACTAACTGATAAGTAGATAGGTCTACAATGGAATCATTTTCCATAATTATTGATAAAAACAAAAGGAATGTTACAAATGTATCATTTGAATATTTTTATGAAATGTTTCTTAATATGTATTTGTTGCTTGGAAAAAAATGTTGCTTAAGAAGTATTAAGTGATGTAGAATTAACATTACTTACAATATGTGGTGTGGGTGCTGATTAAATGGGGGGGAGGGTTAAATGGAAACAATACAGTAGTTAACTATTGTATATATATTATAGACCAATTCACTTTAATCTACAATATATTTGCATCAAACAACCAAAAACATCAAATCTCAGAATGTTTCATGGTACTAGCAGATAAACTTTTTTAATTGCACAGGACATAAATTATGTCCATGTTTGGCCATAAATTTGAGTTTTAGTAAACCTTCATATACCTGCCCCCAGAAGGAAGTGGTCATGTTAGTTTTTTTTATTTTTTATTTTTTTATTTATACATTTTAGGTTTAAGTTATAAAAAAAAGTAGCTCTAATGTATCATCAAATAATAGTTATACTTCAATATTGGGCAATATATAGCAGGATACCATTTTAATGCATTTTGATTTAAGGTTAAAAAAAATTATGGACAGCCTACCCATTAAAAATTTATGCAGTTTTCTCAAATAATTTATGAAAAAGAAGCAGAGGGGAAAATAAGAAAAAAATGTTATTTTAACCAAAATTTAAGGCAAGGGTCCCCTCCTTTAACTGTGAAAAAAAGCCCAGTGGATTATGCTCAACACAAATATAAAGTAGGCAATTGAATATTCATTGAATACTGAAAAGCAGAATCAATTATGCTGATTAAAAAGAAATGAATAAACAAAAAGGTGATATATCTAATGTCATTACTTATAAACCTGGAATTAAGTCAAAGCCAAACCTTAAAATGTTTAATCCAATGCTTTCTTTCATTGCGCAAAATCAAAACTGTACTGTAGAGACAACGGAAACGATTTACCTGTTTACTTGCCTTGTATAATTTGTATGCATATCTTTTTCGCAATTACTCTGAACTTACAACAACATTAAGAAAGAAACCATGGGTTTCATGTAAATTCTTACAATTAATTTACTAGAGAGAAGACAAGTCTGATCAATTTATATAGTAATTTTGCACACCTGTAATTAGGTCAAGTCCTAGAAAAATTGTCACGCGCGATGGCGACCCTAATTTTTTGTCCCAACATGCTTTCCAGAAAATGGATTTTTCGATTCATTGGATATATTTTGCGCAAGAATCGGGTCCGAGAGAGTTAAGTGAAATTTAATGTCTAAGTTATCATCATAAATAAACACAATAAGGCTAAAATGAAAGCAAAACATACCATTCGTCAACAAACATTGCCAAGAAATATAATTCTTCGCCCTCGACCAAGGCTGCGTATAATTTAAGAATTGTTAAAAAAATTTCGAACGAAAAAAATATCGTTGTTAAAAAATGTTTTGCAACGAAATATTTTTTGTACATCTCAGCGAACAAAAAATGTAAAAATATAAATTATATTTATGGGTTCACAACAAAAGCATTTCAAAACATTCATTTATATAAAATAGTTATTTTCTTTCAATGGATATACGAAATTCAAAGCATAATAACAAAAATCCCACGTCTGTCTTGATTAGGGGGAAGTAACTCAATTTCTGTTCACCTTGTCATTATTGGATTACAAATCTTTTTATCTCAGTCAGTTTGGTAACGTGTGTGGTTGCATGTACTTTTTTTCAGGCCGCATAATATAGCACGCACACAAACAATTTGAATGTAAATCTTTAAATAGATAAGTGTTGAATTCTACCACATTAGAAAAAGAGTTTAGAGCTGATAATAAAAAATGAACACTAAACAGCAAAGACAGATTTTCATTATATATTCGAGTTTAAAAATATTTATTGTATGATTGTACATGATTTTTTTACCTAGCAGCGGCACAGAGCTATATTTAAACATATCTGCAATCTAAGTTTCTGGGAGAGGCCATTGCTTTTTTTTGTTCGTGCTAATTGATAACAAATTCTGCTAATTACAAACTTGTAATTAATCACATGCATCCCAATGTATCCGTTATTTTTATATATAATAAGAACCAAATAAAAAACACATTGAGCCCACACTGAATTGGTCAAGGAACGTTCCTGACATGCCTTTATCGCATGTAAGTATGCAAATTCCGTAATTTTTAAATGTAAATATTGAAACTATTTTCTTAATATTTGACCTGTTATAAAAGACGGTACCTACTATAAACGTCTTGCTCATTTTAAAATAAGTACATTTTTTTTAAGTTTAGAATCCATAAACTTAGAATGTCATGTAATAACACATGTACCGTTATAACATTAAGTAAACAAACATCAGCTCCCCTATTATTAGGTTAGAAATGAAGTATATGCTCGCCCATATGGTCTCTTTCCGGTGGCGAGGGTAAACAAACGCAAACACACACAAATTAAAAACCGGGGCAGGAAAACTAGAGCGAGACATGTTCGATGCAGACTATGGCTTCACTGAATTGCTCTGGGGTATGGAGTAGGGCAACTGCAGGGGGGTAGGTGGTTCCTGTGGTATACCGTCCTAGGAAAAAATGAGAATTTATAATAGTCTGAAGTTGTTGTGATTAACAACTATAACATAAGGGATGGCCATGGCGTGATATTCGGGAGAGGGGTGTCAAATATTCTTCTGTATGAGGATAGCAACCAGACCGTTGTGAATCTTATAGAGAAGGGATGACCCAAATGGGATGACCTACCAACTATACTTCTGAGTTCCAGTTTTCGAAAGTTAAGGGAGTGAAGCATGTCCGTGACGCTAGAGGTCTGACCATAATCTAGCTGAATTTATCGGGCTGCTCTTCTTTGTACATTTTCTATTTGATCTATTTGAGTGTTGGTGTAGGGATATCATTCTTCGGAACCATAATATTCAAAGGGACCGACTAACGTCTGGTAAGCGATGGTCTTAATGGATTGGGATTTCCTGATTAAGTGAAGATATAATAATCTTCCAAGATTTTCCTACCCGAGGTACCAACACCTTAGATAAATTTTATTCATCACAAACCGCCCCTCATTACTGAACAGGTGCATTCCATGCCCAGGCCTAAGTGACCATGACATCGTCATGATTGACACAAACATAGTGCCATCCAGACAGAGACCAGCAAAACGCATCATTCACGTATGGAAGAAAGCCAACACAGCAAAGATGGCAGAGGACATTGACCATAATTTGGCACATTTCATTGACAACTAAGCACAAGACACCCCCATAAATGATCTTTGGACCACTTTCAAGTCCATTTGCCTCAATACCATCAAGGAGCATGTACCAACTAAATGGATTTCAAGCAGGTTTAACCAACCATGGTGTAACAGAAAAATCAAGCAGCTTTCTAGACAAAAAACGAAGAGCCTTTAAAATATACAAAAAACTAGGCAGGGATAAGGGCATGCAAAGATTCAGGTACCTACAGAAGTCAACCCAGGAGGAATGTAAGAATGCCTACAATTCATACGTATCGGATATGGTGCAGGAGGACTCCAACAGTAAGAAATTGTACTCTTTCATTAAGAGTAAGAAGTGCGACAGTGCTGGGATTGCTCCTCTTCGCTCTGATGGAAAGCTTCATGGAGACCCACAAACAAAAGCTTCTATCCTGAACCAACAATTTTCGTCAGTGTTCACTACAGAGGATACATCTAGGCACTAGTACCATCCCACCGGCGCCTAACATCAGAGTCACCGAGAAGGGTGTACTAAAACTCTTGCAAGGTCTCAACCCAAATAAGGCAACTGGTCCTGACGAGATCACCACTAGATTCATGAAAGAGATGGCTCATCCAGTTACACCAGCACTTACCAAGATTTTCCAGGCATCCATTGACCAAGGTCTTACACCAGAAAACTGAAAAACAGCTAATGTCTCACCAATATTCAAGAAGGGTGACAAAAGTAAACCTGCACACTACCGACCTGTGTCCCTGTAAGGTAATAGAACATATCATCCACAGCCACCTGATGAACTTTTTTGAACATCACAACATTCTAACTGACTACCAGCATGGATTTAGGAAGAAGCGATCCTATGAGTCCCACCTGACAACAACAATCCAGGACCTCGCCATCGGTATTGATAACACCATTCAAATTGATGCAGTATTACTGGACTTTTCCAAAGCATTTGACAAGGTCCCACATGAAAGGTTGCTCACCAAATTAGACCACTACGGCGTAAGAGGCAACCTACTCCATTGGATCCGGAGTTTTTTTGTCTGGACGAACACAACGAGTACTGGTAGAGGGCCATTTCTCACCAACCGCACCCGTTACATCAAGAGTGCCCCAAGGAACAGTCCTCGGTCCACTGCTCTTCCTGGCTTATATCAATGACCTGCCATCCAGAGTGAGATCCAAGGCCAGATTCTTCGCGGACGACGGCCTTCTTTATGACCATAGCTACAGAGGCCGACACCAGGCAACTCCAGACAGACCTTGACAACCTTCAACACTGGGAATCAGACTGGCTAATGCACTTCAACCCAGACAAGTGTGAGGTTATCCGTATCTCCACCAAACGAAATCAACGCATTGTCCCATACTACATTCATGGTAAAGAGCTGGCTGTTATGTACAACCAAGGCCAAGTATCTAGGGGTCAACATCTCCAACAACCTATCATGGAACCATCACATCGATAGTGTCTGTAAGAAGGCAAACAACACCACTGCCTTCCTACGGAGGAGCCTCTCGTTCTGCCCAAGTAACATCAAGGACAAATGCTTTAAGACTCTGGTCAGACCCCAGGTAGAATATGCATCCACTGTCTGGGACCCCCACACCAAAAAGAACATAGACAAAATAGAAGCGGTGCAAAGAAGAGCAGCTAGGTTCGAAACTAACAACTACAATACCACCAGTAGTGTCACAGCAATAATTGACAGATTAAAATGAAATAGCCTACAAGAACGCAAAACCAGAGCCAAGGCCACAATGACGCATCGTGTTGTTAACTCCCTAATTGCCATACAACTGCCTTCCCAATTCAGCCAATCAGGAGCAGCCACAAGGGGCATCAACTCCGGTACAGAATCCCATTCTGTCGCACCACAGTGTATAAGGAATCATTCTTTCCATCCACCATCAGGATATGGAACCAGCTGCCTGAAGGCATCATCATGGCCCAGTCCTTGGAATCCTTTAAGTCTGGAATCCAGGGATACATCGTACTTTAAGGAAACAAGACATGTTTTTATCAGTTTTTAAATTATTAATACAGGCGTGGACTCCCCCTCCCGCAGCGGCCCTTCACTATACTTGAAGAAGAAGAGCTCCAGTTATGGTCAGAATTGATTGTTCAGGAATTATTTGTATGTATTTCCTAAGAGATTTATATTAAAGTATATATTTTATCCGGTATCTCCGTTCTTTTGTCCATTGCATCCATACCGAAAATGGAATATATAATTATTCTCTCAATTTATTATTTTTTACTCAACCTTTAAGCCTAAAGCAAATATGCAAACATGCATAAACCCCCCTCCCTATCGCATGCCCCCTATCACAATAACGGTTGAAGGTGTTGACAAGTTATTATCAGGTCTAAATCCTAGTAAAGCACAAGGCCCAGATCAAATATCACCACGGGTCCTTAAAGAACTCCACTGTGAAATAGCACCTATCCTCGCCCACATATTCAGGTTATCTTTAGAAACAGGTATTGTGCCTGATGATTGGAAAAATGCAACAATAGCCCCAGTATACAAAAAGGGTCATAAATCAAAAGCCAGCAATTACAGACCAATATCCCTTACTTGTATCTCCTCTAAATTAATGGAACATAGCATAGTCTCAAACTTGATGACCTATTTTGACAAGCACAGTATCCTCAGTCCCTATCAACATGGCTTTCGGTCCAAACGTAGCTGCGAAACTCAACTGCTGAGTTTCACCCAAGAAGTATTTGAAAACATAGACAGTGGGCAACGGCGGATGTGATTGTGATGGATTTTTCAAAGGCCTTCGACAAAGTCGACCATCACAAATTAATCCATAAGCTTAACAGAATGGGAGTTAATGAACAGGTATCCACCTGGGTCAGGTCATTTCTTCGCCACCGTAGACAAAGGGTTGCGGTGGAAGGTCAAATCTCCGACCAGCTGCCAGTGTTATCCGGTGTCCCTCAGGGTTCAGTCCTAGGACCCTGTCAAAAACTGTCAAAAGCAAAACCAGGTTATTTGCGGATGACACTATAGTCTATTTGACAATTGAAGGACAGACTGATGCTGACAGACTACAGGACGATCTACATAAACTTGAAGTTTTGGAACGGGACTGGGCTATGGAGTTCAACCCAGACAAGTGTGAGGTGCTGAGGATTACCCTTAAAAAGAACCCCACCATCTTTCCATACACTTTTCATAATAAAACCCTCAAGTCAGCAGAATCTGCAAAGTACCTTGGAGTAACTATCTCTAAAGACCTTAACTGGACACAGCATATTAATAACATCACCTCCAAGGCCAAAAATTCTCTAAGATTCGTCCAGAGAAACGTCAAAACCCAAAACAGGCAACTCAAAACATCAGACTATGTTACTTAAGTCCTACCTCAATTAGAATAATGTTCCACCATATGGCACCCTTGGCATAAGATTGAAAGTGTCTAACAAGCTGCGGCTAGATATGTTTTTAATATCTATACCTCCGACAGTAGTGTAACCCAAATGCTTAATGAACTTGGATGGCCTTCCCTAGAAAGCCGCAGACTCCAGTCCTCTCTTGAAGTGTTCTATAAAATCCAATACAAACTTGTATATGTTGACCATAACCATCTGACCCCAACTAGAAATCTGAACTTCCTGATCCCCCAGTCTCGTACCCAATATCATCTTAATTCCTACATTCCAAGAACTCTCAGGTATTGGAATAGCCTTCCATATTAGGTCAAATCCAGTTCCAGCCTAGATGCCTTCAAGGATAGGTTGGCGACAGTCACCTTCTTCAAGGATAGGTTGGCGACAGTCACCTTCTAGTCCCCACCCACAGTATGTTTTTAATCTTGCACTCTTTCTTTTATGCTGCACCTTTTTTATCTGTGGTCTTTATCTCTTAGTATGCACCTAATACTTTAAACACAGTTTTCCTGACAAGCGCCTCCCAGTCATATTCAGAATTTATTGTTCGGGAGTAACATGTAGATAGATGCACAGACACTTGGGGTTTGGAGCTCAAAACGATATGATTTTTTTTTCAAAACGGCTTATATTAAGTTTTTTTTATATATGATCAGTACATGTGCTGGGATTGACAAATATGCATTTTATTTGGATTTTAAAGGCGTTTTGAGCTCCAAACCCAAAGTGTCTGTGGATAGATGTAGATAGATACTTCAATCTTTCCGCGAAAATGTATCTTTTCGTTTCTCTTATATATTTCACACTAAACAGTTAACAAAGTTACTCCCCTTTTATTCAACCACGCCATTAACGTTGACAAGAAGCAAAATAAATAATCTAGTTGAAAAAGGAAAAATTATCGTCAGAAAAGGTATATAAATGGTTTGAATGACCCACTTTTCTTCCTACTTTAAAGTCTTATGTCGATTTTCAAAACAATTCATTGGCATAAAAACTACCTACATAATTATAAAGGTAAGGTAAGTGGTATGAAAGGTAAAGTCAACTCGGCCCTATACCAACTCGGCACAGGTCAACGCGACCCACTTTTGAAAAAAAACAACATATTAAACGTATTAACTTTTTATGCCCCCGGATATATAGTAATTGAACCGTCCGTCCGTCCGTCTGTCCGTATGAGGTTAACCTAGAACGGCAAGTTGGATTTTTCTTAAGTTCTACCTGTACCAATGGCTTCTAAGTTTACACACGTACTAATCAATACAAAGTACATGATATGGGCAAGATACATAACTCTGGCTTTCATATTTACCAAGTTATTGCCCTTTTCATCACTTAGAAAATGAATAATGGTTAACCTAAAACGGCAAGTTGGAAATATCTTAAGTTCTATCTATACTAATGGCTTTATAATTTCCACACTTACTTATCAATACAAAGTACTAGTCCAATATATTAGACGTTACAGACTTGTTATAGTTTATGTCGGTCAAGTCTGACGTCTAATAGTTATTGCTCAAAAACGCATAGCATCATAAAAAATTCCAAAAATGTCTATTGTCCTGCCTTGCAAGCTTTATTCAAAAGATTATCATATTTTCTTTCAATTTCATGCTCAATCATACACAAAAACTGTCAAACGATGTACTTATCAATTTAAAATAAAATATAAACATCAATCTGTTTTTGTCGATCAGCCATACTGGTTAAGCAAGGTGCTTAACAGATTGATTCCAAATTTTTGAACGGAAAAATATATTCGAACACACTGACGGTGCATGGGCAATTATTTCGTTAAAAAAATATTCCGTTAGATTGTTCTGACTCAGTTAAACGCTTGCATTTGAATAAGCCAATCAGATTTCGCGCACTTTACGGCCGCCATTTCGCGGGCTTAGCGCAAAACGGTTGTAACTCAATTTAAGCAAATTTTACAGGAGCATGAAAAAACTTATTAAAACTTTTGTTAATGAATAAAAATCTTTTATTTTATGAAAATATATATATTTTAGTTAAGGAATTAGAAACAAAATAATAAAAAAGAAGAAAATAATTTAAAAAAAAAGATATTTGAATAAGTTCAAGTTACAACCGTTTTACAAATAAAATTTTGATTATTTGTTACATATTTTTTTGTGCAAAAGGGTAGTATCTCAAGTTACAACTGTTTTCCGCACAAATTTTGAGAAAATCTAATTATTTTCTTTGTGCAAAATGGAAGTATCTCAAACTCATATCTTTTTTATAGGATTTAATAATTGGTTAAAATAAAAAATTACTTCTAAATCACAAAAAATATATGTAGCCATGATAAAATAAGCTTATAAAAATAAGTACAAGTCATGTTTTGAATGATGAAAATAATGAAAGTAAGAATAATCAGTGATAAGTTTGAAGAGAATGAATGTCCTCAATAGAGATAATATAGCCTATACCACTTAATTTAAAATTTGATGGTTAGTTATAAATGCTATTCTATAGAAATGGTATAAATGTTATCTTAGACACATGTAACATGTATTTCAAAATTAAATGTAAGGTTTAGCCACCCTTTCAGCTGCTGGGCATTTAATCCTTATCCCAATTGATATTATACAATTATGGACTTCAATTTTAGCAAAATCATTCAAAAAGCTACAGTCTCACTGTTATCCCCGGCAGAGCCCTGTTAGACGTCAGGGGTGATTCCAGAATGACCAAGGCTCTACTGGGAACAACCGGGGGTACATCCGTAGCTCTGCTGGCAACGTCCGGGGATGATCCGGGAACATCCAGCATTCGTACCCAGATGGAATAAAATATTTAATATCCCCGGGGTGGTCCAGGATGATCCGGCTTTGCCGCTTCATCCTTAGCTCTGCCGGAATGACAGGGTTACACCGGGAAGCACCGTAGCTCTGCCGGCTCAAACCGGGGTATGATATAGCTAGTAGAGCTACAGTAGAGCCCCGGTGCATGCTGACAGAGCCCCGGTGAATGCCGGCAAGAGCCCGGAGGATGTGGGCAGAGCCCCGGAGGATGACGATGGAGCTACGGTTGATCCCAGTAGAGCCCCAGCAAAGCCCAGTTCATTTCAAAAAAGAATCACGACAATTAAAGATGATTGCACTAGTTTGTATTAAAAACCTTCCCATTTCCCTTCTATCCAGTCTTGCTGAAGGATTTTTCAGAAAAACATCTTGAATTACATTAACTGAATTACTGTAACTATTTTATCATTATCGCGCGTTTTCAATCTACCGAGGGTCTGTCTGGATCATCCTGGGCTCTGTCTGGATCGACTGGGGCTCTGCCTTAGTCAACCGGGGCTCTTCAGGCATCATCTGGGAATGACCGGGGAAGCACCAGCAAGAACTGTAGCTTCACCTGGGCTCTGCCTGGATGGTCCGGAGCGCATCCTGGTTGGTTAGTTGGGAATTACCATAGTGCTGCCGGGTTAGTGTGACCCCAACAATAATTTCACCCCGGATTGTCCCGTCTCATCCCGGTAACTTAACGGGTTGGTCTTGGGCTCTGCAGGGAGTAAATGAGACCGCAGCTTCAAATTTCTACTTGTTAACCTTTCAATTTCAGTTATAATATCAAATTACATGTACTTTATCCTTCTAGGAAGTTCATAAAATCTTAAAATACCTTTAAATTACCTTAGCCCACTGACCAGTTCACATTAAATTTGCAGAAGTTATACATTCTATATCCCAAAAAAAATTTTTCTTTTACTTCTGGGCATATTTTGGTTTGGTAATATTGTCCAACAATATTGTCCTTGATCTTTCATTAACTTTCATGAAGGTCATTGAATAAACTCTTGTATCAAACGAATATATTGATATATTTGTTATCTTCACATGTCAGTAAGGTGAGGTATACATGTATTTGTATAGATGACGGGCTACTGATCTGAAGGTCTCTGGTTTGAGTCACACTTCTTGTGTTTTTGTTCTTTTACTTAATTATTGGAAGAATTGAATTAATTTGAAATTGTTTTAATATATCTACTTTTAGGATAACTTTTAAGTAGTGTGGTGTTAACTTTTGTTTTATCAAGATGTTTTCGTAAGTACTCAGACATAGGGATGTTGGACAATCGCAAGTTTTTCTCTAGAACGCATATTTTTCAATAGTTTTCTTGGTGACATTATGCAAACGTATATGCTTTAGCACATACATGCTACAGAATGATGTAGTTAATAAAAAAGTACACAAATAGTATACACACAAAAAAATGATTAAAAGGTTTTAGAGAAGGGCTATTTTAAAATTAAAAGAAATAAAGTGGCTGAACCAGGATTCGAACCTACAAGTTTATAATGTCTATAATGTCTTGAAGCAATTTCTTACTGCTTGCACTAAGAGGGATTCTTAATTAAGACCATTTAACTACTGGTTATATGATTAGTTAGAAAGACTGTTGACAGGTTATTATGGCCCTGTATAAACAGTTGTTTGTAAATATAACCCGAGCCACAAGGCGAGGGTTATATTGCAAACAGCCATTTATATATGGCCATATTACCTGTCAACAATCTTTATAACAAATTTATAATACAACAAGCATTATTTTTTAGAGAATAAGTAAGATGTTTTTATGAATCAAAAACAGCCGTGTAAATTATTAGATTGTTGACAGGTTATATGGCCCTATATAAACGGCTTTTTGTAAATATGACCCGAGCCGTAGGCGAGGGTTATATTGCAAACAGCCGTTTATATACGGTCATATAACCTGTCAACAATCTTTATAATACAGCAAGCATCATGTTTATAGTCAAAAGTAAGATTTCTTCATGAATCGCCAGCAGCCATGTATAAAAAACTATATAAATGTCACGATTATCCAATGAAAAGCGATGTTTCAAACATGCAGTATTATAAACATTCATAAAGATTTAAAAGTAGATCAAAAGTTTACCGAATTTACTGGCTATAGGGTCAATAAGGAAGAGTGCATGGTCAATATTGTTGGAAAAAAACATACCCTGTCTGTTTGTTAGTGAACAATTTGCTTATTTTCATAAACTGCTGAATGTCTGTAATAGATGTGCCCTGCTTTGTATTTGGAAAAGTCAATCCAATCAATCAATCAATATACGGGTACTAAAATTGAGCTGTCCACAATTACAGAACCTGAACTGTGTGCACATGTGTTCAGGCTGGCCTGGATCTATACTTGTAACAAGAACTGATCATTTTCTATTCCAACATGTCAAGGGTTACAGACTTCATAGATTGTCATAACAAACTAATTCCGGAATTAAAACTGAATGTTTATAATATTTAAACATGGTCCTCTTCAAATTTGATATTTTCCCTGAATTTTGTGATATAGAGTTTAATATGGGCATCTTTTAGGCAAATTCTACATTGTATGTGGAAAGAAGATTTTAAAAGGCTTCATATTATAAACTCTTAAGCTATGTTTTTGTTATTTCATGTTTCAAGACAGTGTCATTCTACGTGTCTTTCCTTCATTGGTTTGTTTGGGGATTTTAACAATGGTCTTGGTTCCTGCCACTTTGTTCATTACACCCCCCACCTCCCTCCCTTCAATTTGGTCCCATACCCCCTTCCGTTTTATTATCTTTAATTATACTTTTATGATATACTACCGTATAGTAGTTTTCTAAGCCATTCATAATAATAATATGGTTTTTGAGAATGTAAGATGCTTGTAGCCTGAAAAAAATAAAAGTAGCAAAATGTAATCAAAGCACTGGCAGTATTGACTTCCACAAAGAATACTTATTGACACTTAACTCACTGTACTTCTTTCAAAATTGCAAAAGATGAAATAGATTGTTCAGGTAATTTGTCATGAGTAACTTTCTTGATAAGAACACTAAAATTTAGAAGCTCTTGAGAAATAGAAATAAAAGCATTTCTGAAGCGTTATGGGTCTGAGCTTTGGGC